GATTTTTAGCAAACCACGACGGCGACGGCAACGAGAACGTCACCAAACAAAAGGTTTAATGAGTAAAACAATGGTTCTGCTCGTGCCTTTTGAATCTTTGTACATTTCTTTGCCGTCCTCTGCAAAACAACAGAGAGCTTAAGAAAATCACAACGCTAAGCAAAACGTTAAATGACGAGAACAATGGCTGTGCACGTGCATTATAATTCTTGGTTTATTTCTTTGTCGTCCTCTGCAAAACAACATCGTGAAATGACCAGGTTTTGCGTTTCCTGGAGAACACAAACCATGACGGCTAATTTTTTAATTTTTATTTCAGATTTATCGCTGTGTCTCAAATTCAGTTTTGTGATAGCTTTGACAGTGATAAACAAAGCAAATGACTTTAGGGCACCGCTAGATTTGTAGGTAAAATATAAAATCATGCATTTTTTAATCGACGTTGTCCTCGGGGTCGTCGTCTTGGTTTCTTACGCTCCCTAACAACGTGAAATGGCTAGGTTCTGCATATTTTGGAGAACGCAAACGACGGCGGCTAATTTTTCGTACTTTCATTTGGAATTGAACGCTGGCGTTACATAGTTAGCTCGAGCAAGTTCTGAAACCAATTGGTGCACTGAACAGATCTAGACAATTGAGAAATTCGAAGGTAAAATACAAATTCATTTTTTACACGGCGGTTTCCTCGCGGCCGCCGTTGTCGTAACTAAAGTTTTCTAAACTCCCTGAAGAGACCACAGGGCACGCACCTCGACATACCTTGAAACCCGCATTTACATCAATGACTGAGAATGAACATAGGCAACAATAGCAAGGTCATAGATTGTCGTGTTTATATTATTCAGTAACATCTTACCTCGTGAAGTAACATCGTCACATTCTAGTGTTGCAGTGGTGGTAGATAACGCGTAAGATTTATGTTCCTCCACAATATCAATTTGATCCTTCGATTCCATAACTTCTGCCTCGTCAATACTCGTCTTTCGAATACAGAGTTCAGTTCATGGAGTTCTTTCGTTTCATTTCGAAATCGAAACATCACACTACTGTGATATCACAGTCGAACTGGGCCATGTGCACCGTTAAAAATAATCAACCCTATTTG